CACTCTTTTTTATCCCCTTTGCCTTTATACAAAGGAACTATGCATGCTCTATGCCAATCCCTAGGTACCTTACCCTCTTCCATACATTTATTAAATAATTGCACCAACCACTCCAAAACTATATCCCCACCTGCTTTTAACATTTCTATCTTTATCCCATCAATCCCGGCTGCCTTACCCCCTTTCATTTTACCTACTGCCTCACGAACTTCCCCCACACTCACAACTGGCTCTTCCTCACTCCTACAAGATGTTATTCCTCCTTGCCCTATACACGAAATCACAGCTTCCCTATCTTCATCAACATTTAACAATTCCTCAAAATATTCCCTCCATCTTCCCAATACCTCTAACTCTCCATTTAATAACTCTCCTCTCCTATTTTTAACTGACAAATGTATTTGTTCTCTAGGCTTTCTTAACTTGTTAATCTCACTCCAAAACTTTTTCTTATTTTCAACAAAATTTGTTGATAACATCTCACCCACTCTCTCATTTGCTCTCTCTCTCTCTCTCTCCTCTCTCTCTCTCTATATATATATATATATATATATAATATATATATATATATATATATATATATATATATATAATATATATATATATGAAGAGAGAGAGAGAGAGAGAGAGAGAGAGAGAGAGAGAGAGATTTCTTGCGATATCTCACTTTATGAAACTTTTGGCATCTTGCTTATGAATGCTAATCCTTCTTTTACATTTTCAGCTTTAGTTTAACACGGAATCAAGCATCATTTGGCCTGAGGAACATGCCGGTGAGAGGTACAAGTCTTGAAAGTTTGTGTCCTCAGGTTCCCACCTGCCCCAATCCCAACTCCAAGTACCGTACTGCTGATGGATCTTGCAACAACCTTGCTAACCCCATCTGGGGCAAGAGCAACACTCCTACCCAAAGGATCTTACCACCAACTTATGAAGATGGTCAGTATTGGAATACATTAATGGTCAGTATTTGATGCTCATAACATTTATTTATATTAAGAAAGAATTTTGCTTCTCATACTTGTTTTTTTTTTTTTTTTTGGAGGATACGTTAAATCCTGTGTTTATCTTGTAGTTTCTAAGAAATGAAAGGTACTCAGAGTTGACCCAAGGGAAAGACAGCTCCATTTCTTTGGACAAAAATTCATTCCGCAGCAACAGGCGTCCCCATTGAAGGGTCGTTTGTCCTGAATAGTGGAAAAAAATTTCCGGACACTGGTCGTAGTTATGTGATATCTAACTTTATGCACATTTTGGTAATTTGACAAAGTCTTTCTGCAGGATTGCCTGTCCACTTTTTCAAGATTAAACTAAAACATTATAAGCTATGATATTTTTGTATTTGTTTTGCAGATAAATATACTTATATCTATTTTGGGATAACATATATTTTAGTTCCTGATATCTTATTTAGCAAAAGAAATATGAAAATTACCGAATCAGGAGGAGCTTTCGGGTAATTGATCGAGGCCTTCTCCTGATTAAAATATTTTAGGTTGTTGCTGATAATATTTTGTTAGGTATAACTGAAAACCCTTAATTTAGTGAACTATAAAGGTGCTTCTGTATAGGAGTGTTTGAGCCTCGCTCCAGAGCAACAGATGGCTCTCCTCTCCCCGGTGTGCGTCGTGTTAGCAGTAGCGTGTTACCAGACGTAAACCGTCCAGATCAGTTTTACACCTCGTCTTTCATGGTGTGGGGACAGTTCATTGACCATGAAATTACCCATGTTCCCTTCCCTACTATGGGTAAGATAAATTAACAATTTACAATCGTTCTTGTCTATAATGCTTATGTGAGTCTTTCCAAAACTCAGGAAAGTTAAGCTTACAATATTTATGTTAAGTTGAATATCAACAATATCTATACCACAGTATTTGAATATAAACAACAATCTATATTTAGTGTTTCTGTTGAAACTGATTATAATATTATGCACCCTCAGAAAATGGAGAAGGAATTCAGTGCTGCCCTAATGGAACACTGGCACCCCCGGCCATGCGTCATCCTAGGTGTTTTCCCATTGATCTTACTGGTGACGCCTTCTTTGGACGCCTAGGCAGAACCTGCATGAACTTCGTCAGAAGTATGGTCGCCGTGGGCGCTGGCTCAGAATGTGTTTTTGGCTATGCCGAGCAGGTTGGTAGTGTCACTGATGCAGTATTTACTATCAGTATAATACTTCACATCACCCCTGGTAATTGTATTTTGTGCTGTTACAACTGCAGACTTGACAGGCGTAATCAATGATTATCTTTATGTAGAATTTCGTAGTGGAACCCAGGCGCCGTCTATACATCTGTTCCTTCCATACACATTCCTCAAAGTCACATGTACATTACTTACATTCTATTATTAGAAAAAATATATAACAGATTATACTGTTCTTAACTGACTCGTATGGATTAGATATATTTACTAAGCGAAGAGGCAAAATTTGCTTGCAAATATTATAATCACTGGGAATAGTTCACCAGAAGATGTCATTCAGTGCCTGGGGAACTGAAGGAAGTCAGGTTTAATTCAAGGAAGGAGAGGCTAGTTCATATTTCATTGATCAAGAGCCCTTCTTCAGCATGAGGGCACCTCTCTTGAAGGGGATCTCTCCTAAAGCAATTATCATATTATGTTAATGTGGTGGAAGCGTAAAAGCATTGCCATGGTAGGAACCTGGAGCTTTCTTAATAGTTATGGACTCCCATTCCTGACGGCCGGTCCTTCACGCCAGGCGATGGGGATCATGTTTTTCGTTATCATGGCTGTACGGGGCGGGCTTCTGCCACACCAGTGTTCAGTGTGGCTCTCCCTCACCAGTGTTCAGTGTGGTTCACCCTCACCAGTGTTCAGTGTGGTTCACCCTCACCAGTGTTCAGTGTGGCTCACCCTCACCAGTGTTCAGTGTGGTTCACCCTCACCAGTGTTCAGTGTGGTTCTCCCTCACAGTGTTCAGTGTGGTTCACCCTCACCAGTGTTCAGTGTGGCTCACCCTCACCAGTGTTCAGTGTGGTTCACCCTCACCAGTGTTCAGTGTGGTTCACCCTCACCAGTGTTCAGTGTGGTTCACCCTCACCAGTGTTCAGTGTGGTTCACCCTCACCAGTGTTCAGTGTGGTTCACCCTCACCAGTGTTCAGTGTGGTTCACCCTCACCAGTGTTCAGTGTGGTTCACCCTCACCAGTGTTCAGTGTGGCTCACCCTCACCAGTGTTCAGTGTGGCTCACCCTCACCAGTGTTCAGTGTGGTTCACCCTCACCAGTGTTCAGTGTGGTTCACCCTCACCAGTGTTCAGTGTGGTTCACCCTCACCAGTGTTCAGTGTGGTTCACCCTCACCAGTGTTCAGTGTGGCTCTCCCTCACCAGTGTTCAGTGTGGTTCACCCTCACCAGTGTTCAGTGTGTTCACCCTCACCAGTGTTCAGTGTGGTTCACCCTCACCAGTGTTCAGTGTGGTTCACCCTCACCAGTGTTCAGTGTGGTTCACCCTCACCAGTGTTCAGTGTGGCTCTCCCTCACCAGTGTTCAGTGTGGTTCACCCTCACCAGTGTTCAGTGTGGTTCACCCTCACCAGTGTTCAGTGTGGCTCTCCCTCACCAGTGTTCAGTGTGGTTCACCCTCACCAGTGTTCAGTGTGGCTCACCCTCACCAGTGTTCAGTGTGGTTCACCCTCACCAGTGTTCAGTGTGGTTCACCCTCACCAGTGTTCAGTGTGGCTCTCCCTCACCAGTGTTCAGTGTGGTTCTCCCTCACCAGTGTACAGTGTGGTTCTCCCTCACCAGTGTACAGTGTGGCTCTCCCTCACCAGTGTTCAGTGTGGCTCTCCCTCACCAGTGTTCAGTGTGGTTCTCCCTCACCAGTGTTCAGTGTGGTTCTCCCTCACCAGTGTACAGTGTGGCTCTCCCTCACCAGTGTTCAGTGTAGCTCTCCCTCACCAGTGTTCAGTGTGGTTCTCCCTCACCAGTGTACAGTGTGGTTCTCCCTCACCAGTGTACAGTGTAGTTCTCCCTCACCAGTGTTCAGTGTAGCTCTCCCTCACCAGTGTTCAGTGTAGCTCTCCCTCACCAGTGTTCAGTGTGGTTCTCCCTCACCAGTGTACAGTTGTGGTTCTCCCTCACCAGTGTACAGTGTGGTTCTCCCTCACCAGTGTTCAGTGTAGCTCTCCCTCACCAGTGTTCAGTGTAGCTCTCCCTCACCAGTGTTCAGTGTAGCTCTCCCTCACCAGTGTTCAGTGTGGTTCTCCCTCACCAGTGTACAGTGTGGTTCTCCCTCACCAGTGTACAGTGTGGTTCTCCCTCACCAGTGTTCAGTGTAGCTCTCACTCACCAGTGTTCAGTGTAGCTCTCCCTCACCAGTGTTCAGTGTGGCTCACCCTCACCAGTGTTCAGTGTGGCTCTCCCTCACCAGTGTTCAGTGTGGCTCACCCTCACCAGTGTTCAGTGTGGCTCACCCTCATCAGTGTTCAGTGTGGTTCTCCCTCACCAGTGTTCAGTGTGGTTCTCCCTCACCAGCGTTCAGTGTAGCTCTCCCTCACCAGTATTCAGTGTAGCTCTCCCTCACCAGTGTTCAGTGTAGCTCTTCCTCACCAGTGTTCAGTGTAGCTCTCCCTCACCAGTGTTCAGTGTGGTTCACCCTCACCAATGTTCAGTGTGGTTCTCCCTCACCAGTGTTCAGTGTGGTTCTCCCTCACCAGTATTCAGTGTAGCTCTCCCTCACCAGTGTTCAGTGTAGCTCTCCCTCACCAGTATTCAGTGTAGCTCTCTCTCACCAGTATTCAGTGTAGCTCTCTCTCACCAGTGTTCAGTGTAGCTCTCTCTCACCAGTATTCAGTGTAGCCTCTCTCACCAGTATTCAGTGTAGCTCTCTCTCACCAGTATTCAGTGTAGCTCTCTCTCACCAGTATTCAGTGTAGCTCTCTCTCACCAGTGTTCAGTGTAGCTCTCTCTCACCAGTATTCAGTGTAGCTCTCTCTCACCAGTATTCAGTGTAGCTCTCTCTCACCAGTATTCAGTGTAGCTCTCCCTCACCAGTGTTCAGTGTAGCTCTCCCTCACCAGTATTCAGTGTAGCTCTCCCTCACCAGTATTCAGTGTAGCTCTCCCTCACCAGTATTCAGTGTAGCTCTCCCTCACCAAGTATTCAGTGTAGCTCTCTCTCACCAGTATTCAGTGTAGCTCTCCCTCACCAGTGTTCAGTGTAGCTCTCCCTCACCAGTGTTCAGTGTAGCTCTCCCTCACCAGTATCAGTTGTAGCTCTCCCTCACCAGTATTCAGTGTAGCTCTCCCTCACCAGTATTCAGTGTAGCTCTCTCTCACCAGTATTCAGTGTAGCTCTCCCTCACCAGTGTTCAGTGTAGCTCTCCCTCACCAGTATTCAGTGTAAGCTCTCCCTCACCAGTATTCAGTGTAGCTCTCCCTCACCAGTATTCAGTGTAGCTCTCTCTCACCAGTATTCAGTGTAGCTCTCCCTCACCAGTGTTCAGTGTAGCTCTCCCTCACCAGTATTCAGTGTAGCTCTCCCTCACCAGTGTTCAGTGTAGCTCTCCCTCACCAGTATTCAGTGTAGCTCTCTCTCACCAGTATTCAGTGTAGCTCTCCCTCACCAGTGTTCAGTGTAGCTCTCCCTCACCAGTATTCAGTGTAGCTCTCCCTCACCAGTATTCAGTGTAGCTCTCCCTCACCAGTATTCAGTGTAGCTCTCTCTCACCAGTATTCAGTGTAGCTCTCCCTCACCAGTGTTCAGTGTAGCTCTCCCTCACCAGTGTTCAGTGTAGCTCTCTCTCACCAGTATTCAGTGTAGCTCTCCCTCACCAGTGTCAGTGTAGCTCTCCTCACCAGTGTTCAGTGTAGCTCTCTCTCACCAGTATTCAGTGTAGCTCTCCCTCACCAGTGTTCAGTGTAGCTCTCCCTCACCAGTGTTCAGTGTAGCTCTCCCTCACCAGTATTCAGTGTAGCTCTTCCTCACCAGTATTCAGTGTAGCTCTCTCTCACCAGTGTTCAGTGTAGCTCTCCCTCACCAGTGTTCAGTGTAGCTCTCCCTCACCAGTATTCAGTGTAGCTCTTCCTCACCAGTATTCAGTGTAGCTCTCCCTCACCAGTATTCAGTGTAGCTCTCCCTCACCAGTATTCAGTGTAGCTCTTCCTCACCAGTATTCAGTGTAGCTCTCTCTCACCAGTGTTCAGTGTAGATCTCCCGCACCAGTGTTCAGTGTAGCTCTCCCTCACCAGTGTTCAGTGTAGCTCTCTCTCACCAGTGTTCAGTGTAGATCTCCCGCACCAGTGTTCAGTGTAGATCTCCCGCACCAGTGTTCAACGGTTGTCGACCATCAAACTGAACATCAGGTTTCCGCCATGATGGCTGTGTCTGAGTGACATCGTTCACCACGAGGATCTGTTTCATAGTAACTGTACTTGTTGTTAAAAAACTAAATTTAGATTTGAATTCAGCGACCCACAATTAATTAGCTACAGATTTTTAAACTCGAAAATAAACCTTTTTGCCAGTGGAATTTTTAAGAAATGTGTGTTGACTGGAAGCTGTGTCTGACTGGAAGCTGTGTCTGACTGGAAGCTTGGAGGGCTGGAAGCTTGGAGGGCTGGAAGCTTGGAGGGCTGGAAGCTTGGAGGGCTGGAAGCTTGGAGGGCTGGAAGCTTGGAGGGCTGGAAGCTTGGGGCTGGAAGCTTGGAGGGCTGGAAGCTTGGAGGCGGGAAGTTTGGGAGGGCTGGAAGCTTGGAGGGCTGGAAGCTTGGAGGGCTGGAAGCTTGGAGGGCTGGAAGCTTGGAGGGCTGGAAGCTTGGAGGGCTGGAAGCTTGGAGGGCTGGAAGCTTGGAGGGCTGGAAGCTTGGAGGGCTGGAAGCTTGGAGGGCTGGAAGCTTGGAGGGCTGGAAAAACAGAAGAGCGAAGCAATGAGGATCATTTTAGGATGCCCCCTTACTGCTAAAATTTTAAATATACAGAAATAACTTGATATTGCAAGCATCAGAGATCGTGTTACTAAAAGAAATATCCTATTTGGGGTTCATGGAGTGAAAAATGCAGTGAAGGGTTCATTTATCCCCGTACTTCAGCCTTTCACTTTTCATTAAGTAAGCAGGTTAAGCTTTACCTGGGTTTCTACGTGTGATTTTACATAGTGTTATGCAGCTGAATAATTGCAATAAACACGTAATGATTTTGGGCAGACATTGATGGTAAATGATGTTCATTTAACATAGCATAACCCGAAAGATTCTAAAATAGCGAAAGTCACATACTGATCTAAATTTGCACCAAAAGTTTACATTAATCCTGGGTTTGAATTTAACACAGCTGACCCAGATTACACACTGGATAGACGGCTCTGCAATATACGGCTCCACTGATGAACAAATGCGAAACTTAAGAACATTCAGGAACGGACTCTTGAGGACCTCTGGTAACAACATTTTGCCCGTTAATAGTAACCAAGGAGGAAACTGCGAAGCTCAGACACGCGGCGCTCTCTGTCTCTTAGCAGGTTCGTCATCACTTGTTTATCTTGAAATAAGATAATAAGTAAGACACAGGTGTTACTTAACTGTTGCACACGTGTCTTACTTATCAACTTACTTATCTTGTTAAGAATAAGGAATTTCGTCTTAAAGCTGAAATGTAGAATCGGAAGAAAAATTCCTGTACTCTTATTTCAAATAATTAAATGTCCTTATAGTCTATCAGCCATCTGAGAAGAGTTTTACAACATTATTGTTATATACTGTATCCCCCCATAACGTAGTTCTGTTATATACTGTATCCCCCCATAACGTAGTTATGTTATATACTGTATCCCCCCATAACGTAGTTATGTTATATACTGTATCCCCCTATAACGTAGTTCTGTTATATACTGTATCCCCCTATAACGTAGTTCTGTTATATACTGTATCCCCCTATAATGTAGTTCTGTTATATACTGTATCCCCCTATAACGTACTTCTGTTATATACTGTATCCCCCTATAACGTAGTTCTGTTATATACTGTATCCCCCTATAACGTAGTTCTGTTATATACTGTATCCCTCCATAACGTAGTTCTGTTATATACTGTATCCCCCTATAACGTAGTTCTGTTATATACTGTATCCCCCCATAACGTAGTTCTGTTAAACTGTATATCCCCCTATAACGTAGTTTGTGTTATATACTGTATCCCCCTATAACGTTAGTTCTGTTTAATACTTATCCCCCTATAACGTAGTTCTGTTATATACTGTATCCCCCTATAACGTAGTTCTGTTATATACTGTATCCCCCTATAACGTAGTTCTGTTATATACTGTATCCCTCCGTAACGTAGTTCTGTTATATACTGATCCCTCCATAACGTAGTTCTGTTATATACTGTATCCCCCTATAACGTAGTTCTGTTATATACTGTATCCCTCCATAACGTAGTTCTGTTATGTACTGTATCCCTCCATAACGTAGTTGTGTTATATACTGTATCCCGCCATAACGTAGTTCTGTTATTACTGTATCCCCCATAACGTAGTTCTGTTATAACTATATCCCCCTATAACGTAGGTTCTGTTATATACTCTAATCCCCCATAACGTAGTTCTGTTATAACTGTAACCTCCATAACGTAGTACTTTTTAAAATACTGAAATCCCTCCATAACGAGTTCTGTTATATACTGTATCCCCATAACGTATTTCTTTTTATAACTGTACCCCCCCATAACGTAGTTCTGTTATATACTGTATCCCCCCATAACGTAGTTCTGTTATATACTGTATCCCTCCATAACGTAGTTCGTTATATATCGTATCCCCCATAACGTATTTTTGTTTATATACTGTATCCCTCATAACGTAGTTCTGTTATATACTGTATCCCTCCATAACGTAGTTCTGTTATATACTGTATCCCTCCATAACGTAGTTCTTTTTATATTACTGTATCCCCCATAACGTAGTTCTGTTATTTTACTGTATCCCCTCATAACGTAGTTCTGTTATACTGAAATCCCCCCCATAACGTAGTTCTGTTAAATACTGTATCCCTCGATAACGTGTTCTGTTATATACGTATCCCCCATAAAGTAGTTCTGTTATATACTGAAATCCCCCCAATAACGTAGTTCTTTTATATACTGTACCCCCAAAACGTATTTCTGTTATATACTGTATCCCTCCATAACGTAGTTCTGTTATATACTGTATCCCCCATAACGTAGTTCTGTTATATACTGTATCCCCTCATAACGTAGTTCTGTTATATACTGTATCCCTCCATAACGTAGTTCTGTTATATACTGTATCGCCCATAACGTAGTTCTGTTATATACTGTATCCCCCCATAACGTAGTTCTGTTATATACTGTATCCCTCCATAACGTAGTTCTGTTATATACTGTATCCCCCCATAACGTGGTTCTGCTATATACTGTATCCCTCCATAACGTAGTTCTGTTATATACTGTATCCCCCATAACGTAGTTCTGTTTTATACTGTATCTCGCCATAACGTAGTACTGTTATATACTGTATCCCTCCACAACGTAGTTCTGTTATATACTGTATCCCTCCATAACGTAGTTTCTTTATATACTGTATCCCCCCATAACGTATTCTGTTATATACTGTATCCCCCCTTTAAACGTAGTTCTGTTATATACTGTTTCCCTCCAAAAACGTAGTTCTGTTATATACTGTATCCCTCCATAACGTAGTTCTGTTATATACTGTATCCCCCATAACGTAGTTCTGTTATATACTGTATCCCCCATAACGTAGTTCTGTTATATACTGTATCCCCCATAACGTAGTTCTGTTATATACTGTATCCCTCCATAACGTAGTTTCGTTATATACTTATCCCTCCAAAACGTAGTTCTGTTATATACTGTATCCCCCATAACGTAGTTCTGTTATATACTGTATCCCTCCATAACGTAGTTCTGTTATATACTGTATCCCCCATAACGTAGTTCTGTTATATACTGTATCCCTCCATAACGTAGTTCTGTTATATACTGTATCCCTCCAAACGTATACTTTTATATACTGTATCCCTCCAAAAACGATTCTGTTATATACTGTATCCCTCCATAATTTAGACTGTCAAATACGGGTATCCCTCCTAACGTAAGTTCTGTTATATACTTTATCCCTCCATAACGTAGCACTGTTATATACTGTATCCCTCCATAACGTAGTACTGCTATATACTGTATCCCCCCATAACGTAGTTATGTTATATACTGTATCCCCCCATAACGTAGTTAGTTATATACTGTATTCCCCCTATAACGTAGTTCTGTTATATACTGTATCCCCCTATAACGTAGTTCTGTTATATACTGTATCCCCCTATAATGTAGTTCTGTTATATACTGTAACCCCCTATAACGTACTTCTGTTATATACTGTACCCCTAAAAACGTAGTTTGTTATATACTGTATCCCCCTATAACGTAGTTCTGTTATATACTGTATCCCTCCCATAACGTATTCTTTTTATATACTGTATCCCCCTATAACGTAGTTCTGTTATTTTACTGTATCCCCCTATAACGTAGTTCTTTTTATATACTGTATCCCCCTATAAAGGGTAGTTCTGTTATATACTGTATCCCCCTATAATGTAGTTCTGTTATATACTGTATCCCCCTATAACGTACTTCTGTTATATACTGTATCCCCCTATAACGTAGTTCTTTTTATATACTGTTCCCCCTAAACGTAGTCTGTTATATACTGTATCCCTCCATAACGTAGTTCTGTTATATACTGTATCCCCCTATAACGTAGTTCTGTTATATACTGTATCCCCCCATAACGTAGTTCTGTTATATACTGTATCCCCCTATAACGTAGTTGTGTTATATACTGTATCCCCCTATAACGTAGTTCTGTTTATACTGAAATCCCCCTATAACGTAGTTCTGTTATATACTGTATCCCCCCATAACGTAGTTCTGTTATATACTGTATCCCCCTATAACGTAGTTCTGTTATATACTGTATCCCTCCGTAACGTAGTTCTGTTATATACTGTATCCCTCCATAACGTAGTTCTGTTATATACTGTATCCCCCTATAACGTAGTTCTGTTATATACTGTACCCCTCCATAACGTAGTTCTGTTATGTACTGTATCCCTCCATAACGTAGTTGTGTTATATACTGTATCCCGCCATAACGTAGTTCTGTTATATACTGTATCCCCCATAACGTAGTTCTGTTATATACTATATCCCCCTATAACGTAGTTCTGTTATATACTCTATCCCCCATAACGTAGTTCTGTTATATACTTTTATCCCTCCATAACTAGTACTGTTATTACTGTATCCCTCCATAACGTAGTTCTGTTATAACTGTATCCCCCCATAACGTAGTTCTGTTATAAAACTGTATCCCCATAAGGGTATTTTCTGTTATATACTGTATCCCTCCATAACGTATTCTGTTTATACTGTACCCCTCCAAAAAACGTAGTTCTGTTATATACTGTATCCCCCATAAACGTAGTTCTGTTATATACTGTTTTCCCTCCATAACGTAGTTCTGTTATATACTGTATCCCTCCATAACGTAGTTTCTGTTATATACTGTATCCCTCCATAACGTAAGTTCTGTTATAACTGTATCCCCCATAACGGAGTTCCTGTTATATACTGTATCCCCTCATAACGTATTCTGTTATTTACTGTATCCCTCCATAACGTAGTTCTGTTAAATACTGTATCCCTCGTTTAACGTAGTTCTGTTATATACTGTATCCCCCATAACGTAGTTCTGTTATATACTGTATCCCCCCAAATAACTAGTTCTGTTATATACTGAAATCCCTCCATAACGTATTTCTGTTATATACTGTATCCCTCCAAAAACGTAGTTCTGTTATATACTGTACCCCCCATAACGTAGTTCAGTTTAATACTGTATCCCTCATAACGTAGTTCTGTTATATACTGTATCCCCCAAAAACGTAGTTCTGTTATAACTGTATCGCCCATAACGTAGTTCTGTTATTACTGTACCCCCCCATAACAGTAGTTCTGTTTATATACTGTATCCCTCCATAACGTAGTTCTGTTATATACTGTATCCCCCCATAACGTGGTTCTGCTATATACTGTATCCCTCCATAACGTAGTTCTGTTATATACTGTATCCCCCATAACGTAGTTCTGTTTTATACTGTATCTCGCCATAACGTAGTATGTTATATACTGTCCCCCTTTCACAACGTATTCTGTAATATACTGTATCCCTCCATAACGTAGTTCTGTTATATACTGTATCCCCCATAACGTAGTTCTGTTATATACTGTATCCCCCCATAACGTAGTTCTGTTATATACTGTTTCCCTCCATAACGTAGTTCTGTTATATACTGTATCCCTCCATAACGTAGTTCTGTTATATACTGTATCCCCCATAACGTAGTTCTGTTATATACTGTATCCCCCATAACGTAGTTCTGTTATATACTGTATCCCCCATAACGTAGTTCTGTTATATACTGTATCCCTCCATAA